TATGGGCAGCCCACTTTTTTTTAAAAAAAAAAATTCATTCCAGCTGGAGTGTAGTGCATGGCTTTTAAGCAGTAGGGCAGACCACTAGTTTTGTTGTACCGACTCCTCAATTTCTCCAATTTCGGCTGATGCTCGTGGAAACCTCTTGCAAACCTCAGAATTTTCTCTGCCATCGTATTATAAAGGGATCACATGTTCTCATTGTCCCAAATTAAATAATGTCTAGAAGCTAGTCATCTCTAGCATCTTCTAGGAAGCAGTCTCCTATACATGGAAAATGCAAGTTAAATTCTCATTAGGTCGTTGGATGCTTGCAAGATTGTTTCTCAGTCTATAGCAAGGAGAGCACAAATATTGGTGCATTTCTGTATCATATTTTTTTTTAATGTTATTAAATGCAGAAAAGAACGGTAGAGAAAAACCTGGTGGTTTTAGACTTACCTGTGCAAAGAAGCTGATAATTCTTCTCTTTTTTTTAATTCATTGGAATTCCGGAAATATATTGTCAGTGAGCTGCTAAGCTACCTCTGTGCACTTATTTAGAAAGCCAAGACTTTCCAAAAACCAGGCACTGGAAATTTTGGGTCCGTTTCGTTTGCTTCTCTTAAGCCTTGCCCTCATCCAAAGAGGAAATAGCATTGACAAAATGTCCATATTTGCACATCTGGTTTTGGTGGCTATGCTTTTCTGATCATTTTTTCCATCTTCTTTGTGGTAAAGCAAGTAAGCCAACTTGGTTTATATCAAGACGTTCAGTTTGCTACCTTTTTGCCCGAAGTTGTGACTTTTAATGGGAGTAAGGGAAGCTGGGAGGGCTGAAATACACACAACAAGTACAAAATGGCCAGTTTTATGCAAAACTAGGATCTTTACGTAAATGTCGAATTGTGTTGCAGAATAAGTTACAGAACTTTTTATATACTTGAAGATGGCAAAACCACTATAAACACAGAACAATTCAGTGATGTCACTCAAGTCATAAGGGATTGCACGAAAAAAGAGGGGCCTTTTTAAAAAGCATGTGTTACTTGTATTTATATTTCTTTTTTTTAAAAAAAAAAGTTTTAATCTGGCAGCTATAGGAGGAAAATAAATCGGCCTTTTGTGGTTGTAATTCTTAATAAGGATTTGAGTCAGTTTAAACTGAATTTTCTAAGAAAAGATAACTCTAGAACAGGGCCCCCTCAACCCCCAGTCTGCAGCCCAGTGCCAGGCCATGGCCTGTTCGAAACTGGGCCTGCAAGCAGCAGGTGAGTGTGCCTGCACGAAGCTGCATTGGTGCAAGTGGTGTGCGCACACACGATACCATCCCCCCTCACCACCGCCAGTCCGCAGAGCAGGAAACGTTGGGGATGCTACTCTAGAAGATAGCTTAAATCAACCGTACATATTCAGAATCTGCTTCTTCTGTCATCCGTGCCCCAATTAGCTCTGGAGCATCTGCTTTTCTGAGCTGGATGGTCAGCTTCTTTGAATTTCTGCCTAAAAGCCACCACACTGTACCCCAATCACCCTTGAATGCAAGTACCCTGCTTTCAGGGGTCTGGAGAAGCCATTCAGTGAGTGACAGACCCTCCCAGCAACTTACACTGTTGTTATGCCCAGCAGATTCTTTTGGTGATTATTGATATTTCCTGTGGCTTGACCCCTGGGCAAGACAGCAAATTGCATCAAGACAAGTCAAGCAAAATTTTAATTGCAGCAAAGTAGAGCAGGATAAATACAAACACTTCTTATTTGAAAGCAAAAAAAAAAATTGCTCTTCAAGAACAAAGCCATGGTTTAAAATAACAAGTAAAAATTGGAGAACGTGCAACAAATCCAAATTGATCTTAATTGTCTAATTAAAGTTTCTGGAGAGTAATTTTCCAACGAGAGGTCAATTTGGTCTCAGAATTTCAAATGGTTGCTCTTTGTTTACTATTGTAATTTTACTTCCCAGCATTGTCATGTTTCATTAGCATGACTTGTATCCAGTTCATATTGCATACCAGTTTGTTCAAAGGCAATGGCGCTAGCAAGACTTGAAACCAATAGCTGCAGGCGCCTTTGGGAGAACAGTACTCCATTCCCCAGTCTGTCAGTTGCGTGTTCATTTACTTGCCTTGATAAAGTCTGATTTTTAACCACAGAAGTTACCATACTGTAACTTTCCTGTTTGTTTGTTTTTCCCCTGCCCTTGAAATAAGCTGTTGGCACTTGAGGTGCAGTGAACAATTTTCACAGGCTTCTGTGGTTCAGACCTATTGAGGGATCGATTCGTTGTACGGAATCCTTCCCAGCACTGTGTACTCCTGATGGGCCTTGACAGCATTCTTTGTCTGCCATTTTTGTAGTCTCCTATTACAGGGATCCTCAATTTTAACAACTTTTAAGGCTTGTGGACTTCAACGCCTAGAATTCCTCAGCCAGCCAGCTATGCTGGTTGGGAAATTCTGGAACTTGAAGTCTGCAAGTCCACAAGATTGGGGACCCCGTTATTGGGCAAGGAAAAAAAAACCTGGTCAATAATTTAGCTTGGAGTGTTACAATTGCAAGGCCTTCTGTAGGTCTTAATTTGGGCAGTTGCTCAAAGGACTCTGTGCCATTTCAAGCACAATTTTCATGTTTATAGTTGAATCACTTCTTTTCCAATCAAACGCATGGGCATTCTTAAATGCAAAGCATGTTTAAATTGGGACCCAAGTTTTATTAAGATATTAGTGCTGTACAGCCAAGTCACCATTTCCACAGTCAGTACTGTTGGATTTTTGTCTCGGGAAAAGAAAAAAAAAGATCTATTCTGTATAGTAATAAAGATATATGCTTTAAATTATAGCATGAGATTTTTTTAAAAAAATCAGTGGCTGTTTTTTCATACTGTACCTAAGAATTTCAGTTGTGTATGAAAAGTGAAGAAGAAGGGTGTCTGGAACACTTAGGTTTTTCAGATGCTTTTCTTTTCTTTTTCTTTTGGTTTTCCCATGCATGGATGTTCATTTTAAATTGTGTTGGATGATATTTGTGATTTCATGCTTTCAGATATTTTTTATAAATTTTGAAATAAACAATTTAGTGCCTAATTTCTACCTTTTTGGAAGAATTGTGAGAATATTTTGTTTGTTTGTTTGTTTGTTGCATGTAAGAAGACCTGTTTGCTCAGATCCAGATAAGATTAATTGAATGTTCTGGCTTATATTGTGTAAATTTGTGCAGCGGATGTATTTTATTGACTATTTCCATCAAAGCCATTGGCAATTTAATACCACAGAAGGACCCATAGTGAATGTTTTTATCATATGTGGAGAAACTGTTACTTATCATAGAAGAGCTGAGAGATTGCTTTAAGCGAAGTTCAGGTACATATTTCTCAAAACAAAATCAGATTTTTCCACAGGATCAATCTACCCCATTCTTCTTTCTCAACCTGGTTTGACATTAGTTGTGCAAGAGCAATGTAGAACATCTAAAGAATACCATTTGGAGGAAAGTTGAACTCTATGCTATTAGGTAGCTAGGGAAAAAAACACTCTGTTTGGAGGTGACATGTAGGTGACATTTGACATGAGGGATGTACACAAGGTATGAAAAAACGTGTTGTATCTGACATGGAATAAACTACAGATACTTCAACTTATGATCGGTCCTTAACCATGAAGTTAGGGCAGGCCTTCCCAGAACTATTTATGACCGGTTTGTGACGTTGTGTCACATGATCACATTTTTGGGCACTTGGAAACTGGCTCAACTTTGATGGCCATTTGCAGTGTCCTGCAATCACATGACTACAATTTGCAACATTTTTTTTGTTGTTGCCATTTTCCAGCCTTTATTTCTGGTTTCCAGCAAAAAAATAAAAATAAAAACAAGCCCATTCAGCAAAAACTGATTTGTTTAATGTCCCCTGAGGGCAGAGGTAAACCTCCAGTTAGCCTCAGCAAGTCTCAAAAAGAATAGTAAGGACCTGTTGACTCCAAGGAATATAAATTGGTGGTGCAGTGGTTAGAATGCAGTATTGCAGGCTAATTCTGCTGACTGCCAGCAGTTCGGAAGTCCCGAGTTTCACCGACTCAAGGTTGACTCGGCCTTCCAGCCTTCCGAGGTCGGTAAAATGAGGAGCCAGATTGTTGGAAGGCAATATGTTGACTATAAACTGCTTAAAGTGGGCTGTAAAGCACTGAAGCAGTATATAAGTCTTAAGTGCTATTGCTATAAATTCCGTTCACCACTATTCAATCAAAACTGAAGAAGCTTTGGATGAGAAGTGAAATATCTTCACGGAAAAACAGTAAGTCCTGTTGCCTTTGGAAGAAGCATCTTTGGGACTCTATCGCGTGGGCTTCAAAAATTTTAGCAAGGGGTTCTCTGGGTGCTGGGTGGGCGTGGCCATGGTGGGCGTGGCCTAGTCAGCCTCTTGCACCACAGCGGGTGGGAGCATTTTTGCCCTCCCCAGGCTCTGGAGGATTTCCTCGAAGGCGAAAACGGCCTTCCAGGTCCTGGAGGCCAGAAACTGGCCCATTTCCAGCCTTCCCAAATTTCCAGTAGGTCTGTTTTTCACCCTCCCCGAGCTTCCGTGCGCACCCTGCACTTACCTGCATGCAAAACGGGCCACGTGGGGACTTCTGGGAGGGGCGGGGCAGGGTGGGCGGGGCCAGCCAGGAGTGGGGTTTGGGGGGTTCTCTGAACTGCACAGAATCTTAGCTAGAGGTTCTGAACCCCAGCAGCCCACCCCTGGACACTACCACTTACCTCGCCTCCACAAGCTTCCTGAGGTGCAAAATCCACCACTCCAAATTTTCCCAAGGCCCTCCCTCTTTAGCTGCCAGCACTGATGGCCCACCATAGCATGTCTCCCTCCCTTGCCTACCCCACAATTCTTTCCATGTATCTTCTCTCCCTCCATACTTGTGCTACTGCTTCTCATATTGCAGTATCTTCCACTCAGCCAACCATTTCGTCTTCCCCCTCCCACACACCCACCTAAGTTCCCCATTTGTGCTCAGAAGAAAAACAGCCATATGCAAAGAGCAAAACAGCTTCGTTGTATTTTGCGCATAATCCAAAACATCAAAGCGGCCACGGGCTGTCTGAAATCAGCTACTCCGTTCACAGGCCAGTTTATGAACGGAACAATGTTGACATCCTCAGGCTCCATCACTTGAAGCTAGATGTTTTGGGACTGCCTTAAGCAGCGAAAAATGCAGAAAGTCCTTGACTTACAACCAGTCATTCAGGAATCTTTGAAGTCAGAGCAAAGCTGAAAAAAGTGACTTGCAACTGGTCCTGGCACTTAATGAACGTGTTGCAGCATCCCCACAACTGTGTTATCAAAATTTGAGCACTTGGCAATTGACACGCATTTACAACAATTAAGAGTGTGCTGTAATCCTCTGATCACCATTTGTGGCCTTCCCAGCCAGTTTCTGACAAGGCTGTGGGGGAAGTCATATTTTTTTAACTACTCTTTGATTCACTTAGCAACTGCAATGATTTGCTTAACAACCATGGCCCAAAATATAAACTTGGACGTAACTTATTTAACAACCACTTTGCTTAGTGACAAAAAACTCCAGTCTTAATTGTGGTCATAAGTCAAGGACTATTTTGCGGTCTTAAGGATTACCTGTATTGGAGTAAAGGGGGATTTCAAATTCACTTGAATCAGAGGAATAGGACAAGAAAATCCTGATCATGTTACCTAGTTTGGTAACGAAACGTTCAGAAACTAAATTGAAACAAGCTTGGAGAGCAAATCACTGCCAAAAACCACTTGATCAGTGTTCAAATCACCAGAATTGGAAGCATAACGTGCTGGGATTGTAAAATTGCACCCGTAATATAAATTTTCCGGCCATGCAAATCAAATAGGCCGCTTCTGTTCTACAGTCGTCGTTTTACAAAACCTCTTCCAGAATCCCTGCAGCGGCCTGCACAGTGAAGGCTGCAATAGAGATCTGCCTCTTGACTTCCTTCCAAGCTTTCTGTGGATCTGTCCTGCTGCCTATATCAAACAGAGCATCATAGATCCCTGGGAATGACATGCCTGCGTATTTGTTGCGACTGCTTGGAGCAAAAACGATGTGTCTGCAGAGCAAGAAGACAGAGGCAAAAAGAAAAAAAAAATTAGCAAAGTTGTGCAAATTTAGCAGAACCGAAGAAGCTTTCTTGGATGCGAAGCGAAATGTTTTCAAGGAGGGGGGAGAAAAAAAAACCTAGGAAAAGTCCAATTGCCTTTTGAAAAGCATCTTTGGGATGTTGTGGCAGAACGGCAAATCTTAACTCTAAATGTCAGGCTTTTAAAGTGCCTTCTGCGAAAGCTTGCAGGAACAATGTTTAGCAAGGTATAAGAAAACAACAGGACAGCCTGAAACATCCTTAACAAAACTGCCTGAAATCAAAATGTTTTTTTAAAAATAGTTTTACCTTATATTCAGTGGTGGGATTCAAATAATTTAACAACCGGTTCTCTGCCTAATGACCGCTGGGTGGCCTGGCCATGGTGGGCCTGGCCAGGGGTGTGAAGGCAGCAAAAACGGGCCATAGGGGGATGTGTTGCTGCCCCCCCCCCCGCGCGCGCCTTGTTTTAGGCCTAGTAGGCTTCTCTGAAGCCTGAGAGTGAAAATGGGCTGTGGGGGGGGCCGCGCCACTCCCCCCATGCCCCGTTTTGGGCCTAGTAGGCCTCCTTGAAGCCTGGGAGTGAAAACGGGCCGTGGGGGGACAACACCACCCCGGCACCCCATTTTGGGCCTAGGAGGCCTCCCTGCACTTAACCTGGGAGCCAAAATGGGCTGTGTGGGGACTCCTGGAAGGGATGGGGCGGGGAGGGGCCAGCCATAAATTTAACAACCGGTTCGTCCGAACTGGCCCGAACCGGCTGAATCCCACCACTGCTTATATCAGAGAACAACGTACATTAGCTGTTTCCTGAAGCTGTATCAGCAAGAAGTTCACAAAGGGAACTTGTCCCTTATCCTCACAGGAGAGATTATATTTTAACTGAAACTGTAGTGGCACAGTGGTTAGAATGCAGTATTGCAGGCTAACTCTGCCCACTGCCAGGAGTTCGATCCTGACTGGCTCAAGGTTGACTCAGCCATCCTTCCATCCTTCCGAGGTGGGTAAAATGAGGACCCAGATTGTCAGAGGAGCAATATGATGACTCTGTAAACCGCTTAGAGAGGGCTGTAAAGCACTGTGAAAGCGGTATTTAAGTCTAAGTCAGGGGTCAGCAACCTGCGGCTCCGGAGCCGCATGCAGCTCTTTGGGCCCTGTGCTGTGGCTCCCTGTCAGGTGATCCCACCACTGGCTGGCCCCGCCCCTCGCCCTCCCCTCTCAGTCACTCCTCGCTTGGCCTGAGAAGGTAAGGGCGACGGCAGAGGATGGAGAAGCGGCCAGGGCAGAGATAGAGAGATCCAGAGTGTGGGGGAGAGAGAGAGACAGAGAGAGATACAGAGAGAGAGGGAGAGTGGGGGGAGAGAGGGAGGGGGGGAGGGGAGAGAGAGCTATGTTAAAAGGATTTTGTGGTTCCCGGTGTTTTTTAACACCTGATTCTCTGCCCTAATAACCGGCTGGGTAGGTGTGGCTAGGGGGTCATGTGGAAGTGAGTGACATCGAGTTGGCCACGCCCACCCAGGTTTTGTGGCTTCCGGTGTTTTCTGTGGGAAACGGGTCCAAATGGCTCTTTGAGCATTTAAGGTTGCAGCCCCCTGATTTAAGTGCTATTGCTAGTGTTTTGCCAACTGAATATGGAAAAACATCTTTGTTTTAGTACTGATTCTTCTGCCAAAAGTGCAAATGTTCTCGGCAGGTTGACTTTTGAATACTGGTTACCTCAGCAGCTGAACTCTTTAAACCCATTTGTTCATTCATCTCCCAACCTCTCCGGTCTATTATAGGTAGTCCTCAATTTACAACTATTCATTGAACAACGGTTCGAAATTACAAACCCACCTGAAAAAAAAGGTGACTTATGACCAGTTCTCACATTATGACCATTGCAGTTTCCCCATAATCATGTGATTAAAATTTGGGCATTTGGCATAACCGCTATTTGTTCCATAGTGGCGCAGTGGTTAGAATGCAATATTGCAGGCTAACTGTGCGCAGCCTGGAGTTCAATCTTGACCGGTTCATGATAGAATCAGCCTTTTATCCTTCCAATAGAATAGAATAGAATTCTTTATTGGCCAAGTGTGATTGGACACACAAGGAATTTGTCTTGGTGCATACGCTCTCAGTGTGCATAAAAGGACAAGATACAAGATCAGTAAAATGAGGATCCAGATTGTTGGGGACAATATGGTGATTTTGTAAACTGCTTAGACAGGGCTGTAAAGCACTATGAAGCGATGTGTAAGTCTAAGTGCTATTGCTATTGCTATTTGCAACCTACCAGACAGTTTCTGACAAGGTGAGTCAATGGAGAAGCCGGATTTGCTTAATGACCTCATGATTCAGTAAACAACCGAAGTGATTCATTTAACAACCATGAGAAAAGTGATTGCGAAAATGGGGTGCAGCTCCTTTTAACCACCACCTCGCTTACCAACAAAAATTCTCAGTTGTAAATCGAGGACTGCTTGTGACACAGCAAAAAAGTCAAGTGTTACTAAGTCATACTTAGCAAAAGTAAGATCACCACAGATGGGGACTGCAGCCAAGAAATTAAAAGACGTTTGCTCCTGGGGTGGAAAGCCATGGCAAATCTAGACAGCATATTAAAAAGTAGAGACACCATTTGCCAACAAAAGTGCATTTAGTCAAGGCTATGGTGTTCCCAGTTGCAATGTATGGCTGTGAAAGTTGGACCATAAGGAAGGTTGAGCGCCAAAGAATTGAGGCCTCTGAACTCTGGTGCTGGAGAAGACTCCTGCAAGTCCCTTGGACTGCAAGGCGATCCAACCGGTCAGTCCTAGAGGAGATCAACTCTGACTGCTCTTTAGAAGGTCAGATCCTGAAGAGGAAACTCAAATCTTTTGGCCACCTAATGAGAAGGAAGGACTCCCTGGAGAAGAGCCTAATGCTGGGAACGATTAAGGTCAAAAGAAGAAGGGGACAGCAGAGAACGAGGTGGTTAGATGGAGTCACTGAAGCAGTCAGCGTGAGCTTAAATGGAGGATTTACTATCCAGAGGATAGGAGAGGACAGGAAGGCCTGGAGGAACGTTGTCCATGGGGTCGCAATGGGTCGGACACGACTTCGCAACTAACAACAACAACAATAACTTAGCAAAAAGTCTCGCTGCACTCAGATGCTTTACCTGTAGAATGGTCTGCCTGGCAAGCCAAGAGGATCAATGAAAGCTCTCTCGAGAAACATCAATTGATCGTTCATGCTCCGAACAGCAATGGGGCTACAAAAGATAGAAGACAGAGGAAGGTATCAAACACCCCTGTACTGTTCAGGATAATGTTTCTCAACCTTGACAACTTTTAAGATGGGTGGACTTCAACTCCCAGAATTCCCCAGTCATACATGAATTCTGGGAGTTGAAGTCTATTACACAGTGCTGAAGCACTGTGATCAGTGGTGCGATTCAGCCGGTTCTCTCTGGTTCGGGGAAACCAGTAGCGCCGACTGCGGTAAGCCCCGCCCACTCGCCCGGACGTAATGCCGTCCTATTTAGCCACGTTTTTGAGGCCATGCGCATGCGTGGGAGGTGCGCACGTGAGTAAAGAGCATGCACAGAAGGCGAGCATGTGGAAGGCACACACCGTCATATTTGCGAACCGGTAGGGAAGGTAAGTGAATCCCACCTCTTGACTGTGACGCAAGCAAAACTTTCTCCTAAAGATGAACGGATGAACGATTATCAATAACGCCAATAAAGTTGCATTAACTTTTGCAGAAATATTAAACTTACTTATTCATGTCAAGCTGTGAAAGCCTGCGGTGAAAAACTGGTGCTACAGATGCAAAATGATTCACAGCAAAAAACAGGGCCTCTGCGAACAGAAAAGTTGCACAGTGAGCTTCAAGCTTTGGGATTTCTAGAGTTTAAACGAGATCGAGAAAGATGGCCCTGCACAGCTTCTGGAATTCATTTTAACACCATCAGACTAGCTCTGTTCTGGGTCACATGACCAAGATGGAAGAGGATGGGGGGGGGGCTTAGGCTGGAGGAGTTGGCAATGGATTGAGCCTCTGCCCAACAGCTTCTATAGGAATGCATGGGAAGGGGAGGGGAGAATATTTTTCTGGATTTTTTTTTCCCCCCTCAGGAACTTTTACAGCACGTTTCCTTTGCCAAACATAGGAATTAATTAAATGTTTTTTAAAAATCCTTCAGATTCTATTATTCTGTGGACTTTCTATGTGTTAAATACAATAACAGATGTGACAACTTGCAAAGCTTTCAAGTTGCCATGAGCAGGAGGGAGGGAGAACTGATAGAGCTGATAGATTTCCCTAACTGAAATGCATTCCATACATTCTTCCTGACTGCAATCAGAAGGAGGGTGTTGGATTTCACAGCCAGCCAAAGTGGTTAATTGGAGAATGTGATTTATGACATGGCCAGGGAGGAGGGGAGAGACAGGGTCATAGGGGAACGTGAATCTACGTGGGATTAGTTCTAACTCCATCCGAATATTGCCGAAATGGTGCTCCTAATAAATGACTGTATTTCTTTGAAGTTCGGCTCATGGCTCATGAATTAATTAGGGCATCTTTCGGAAACTTCACAGATGTTAACAGAGGAATTTGAAGATTAGAGTAATGTTTGGGTTAACCTATCGACTGTTTTCTTTATTTTTATAGATATAATATGATTAGATGTTGGGTTGATTTGCTTATTAGATAGATTTCCACATCTGGAATATTTGTTTATTTTATATGGCATTTTTGATCATTATGGATCAAAAACCCCTCAGATAAAGGGAAGAAAACCTATTATAGGGTTTCCTGCCTAAGGAGGAGGTTGGACTAGAAGACCTCCAAGGTCCCTTCCAACTCAGTTTATTCTATTCTATTCTATTCTATTCTATTCTATTCTATTCTATTCTATTCTATTCTATTCTATTCTATTCTATTCTACTCTACCCTACCCTACCCTACCCTACCCTACCCTACCCTACCCTACCCTACCCTATTTTTTAATTCATTTTTCAACATCCAGCTGGGGTGGGGTTTTTTATGTTTTAATGTTAGATTTATTTGACATTTTGAGATTGTTTTTTTCCTCCTTATTTTGTACACAATATATTTTTTTTCTTTTCGCTGTTAGTGTTGAATGTTCATTTTTCTGTTTGGGGGGTTTTTGGGGGGTTCTGTACTTTATTTTTGTTGATAAAATAAATATGTTAAAAGAAATCTATTTATTTTATTTATTTATTTTATTAAATTTCTATACCGCCCTACTCCCAAAGGACTCAGGGCGGTGAACAGCCACAAGATAAAACACATAAATACAAAAATTTAAAATAGAATAAAAACGAATTAAATAATTTGGCTGAACAAATTTAAAATACCCCATAATTTAAAAACAAATTAAAATTTACATTTAAAAAGGGGAGAAGATTTAGGCCAGATAAAACCTATGATTTTATCTTTGAGGGGCAGAATGATGGTGAATAGAAAACTCAATCATAAATTTATGGATTCCGAGTCACGTTCAAGAGAAACCTTACCAAATGAAACTTGGTACTTCTCAAGTTCTTCTTTGTGTTTCTTGGCCTGGTCATAGATTTCATTAGCGTAGAGTTTCAAAGCTTCTGCATAATCCTGACAACGGAAGGGAAGGACTGGAGAATCTGCAAGTTCATAGACTAAGCCTGCACGTATTTGAGCCACAGTGAACTGTTTCTGGAAAGAGGGATCGTAAAACCGCTTGACCAGTTCAAAAGTCTCGTAGGTAGTGTGGTATACAGGATAATTACTGTATTTGTCCACTTTCTGTCAAAAAGAAAAAATAAATAAATGAGTCAGTAGAATGAAGTCCATATTCAGCGGCAAAGTTTCAAATTTCCCTTCAGGACATCTCTTCAAAACCAGAGGTAAGTCAACAACACCCCAAATAATCAGAGTCAGTGGTGGGTTGCCCCCGGTTCGCACCGGTTCTATAGAACCGGTAGTAAAACCTGCAGGAGGCTCCGCCCACTGACCCTGACGTCATGAAAATGATTCTGCGCCTGCACAGAAGAGCGCATGCGCGCGTGAACCAAGCTCGTGCGCGTGGCCCAGTGGTGAATTGTAAAATTTGTTACTACCGGTTCTATCCATTTAGCTCTTATGAAGCCATTTTTAGAAGCACTGTAGAAGGTAAAACTGAGTTTTAATGACTTTGCGGGGCCTCTTGGCAGTTTATTGAATGGTTCAAAAATAATGGTGTCACCAAGTCAGACTCAGTCTTGCTATCTGCTATGGGTATGTAAAACCACCAGTGAAGGATGGGATTGGCTTGTACCATTTGCTCCCGAAAAAGGGGCTTGGTACGAACTCTGTCACTCAAGGAATTTTGACTGAAAGGCTGTAGGAGAAGAGTCTTTTTTCGCTATGGTACCCACCCTTTGGAACATCTTGCCACCAGAGATGAAACCCATCCCTTCTGGCCTTCTGGAAGGGCCTTAAAACCTGGCACTGCCAACTGATTTGGGACCCTGATAGGGATACCCTATGCTGGAGATGGCTGATGGAGTAAGAGAGAAGACCTTGTTTCCTTCCCATCCATTCCTTTGATTTTTAGGAACCCCAGTGGCACAGTGGTGAGAATGCAGTATTGCAGGCAAACTCTGCCCACAGTCTGGAGTTCAACTCAGGGGTTCAACATTGACCGAGAACCCAGATTGCTGAGGACAATATGCTGATTCTGTAAACCGCTTAGAGAGTGCTGTTCTCGGCAACACTGGCTGCCAGAGCAATTCCACAAAGAAACACGCTTGGGTGGCGGTTCGAGGATGGTTTATTTGCAGCTAACAGCAACAGCTTGCTACCGATATGCTAACAGCAATCATGTCAGAGTTCCCGCATCGGCGTTTAGCGCTGTTTAAATAGCGCACTGAGAAGCCGGCATCCGTTTCCACCTTTCCAGCTTCCAGGGGCATCCCGTGCTGATGTCAGCCCAGATCTGTTAACCCTATCAATCCCAAACCCATCGCCCCACGCGATCCCGCTCCGCCCATCACCATGCAAGCAGAGCCCTATCCACGCCCCAAAACCCATCACCAACACCCGTGACGCGCGACCACCCCCTCCCGATCACACACACACACGCCGCTTTCAGCAGTCATTGTCGAGTTCCGTTAACAGCAGCAGATAGACGGCTCGACAGCTGTAAAGCACTATGTGGCGCTATATAAGTCTAAGTGCTATGGTGATTTTAGTCTCTATTTAATTCTTATTCATTTTAACTATTTTTATAGTTTTATCTTTTTTATCATTTTTTAAACTGCCCAGACTTGCTCCAACAGTCAAATAGGTGGCAAGTAAATTTAATAAATAAATTAATACAGTTTAATAAATAAATGTTAGAGAAGTGTCTTCTTCTGAACCATCCTCCAAGATCTACATGGTTCTGATTCCCCTTGCCTCAGAAGAGCCTTATAGCTTTGGCTGCTCTACCAAGCCCTGGGGGCAGAGTGATTTATAATGCCCTTGGTGACTGTTTTAGAATAGAGTTGGAAGGTACCTTGGAGATCTTCTAGTCCAACCCCCTGCTCAAACAGGAAACCTAATACCAGGGGTATCAAACTCGATTTCATTGAAGGCCACATCAGGGTTGTGTTTGACCTCGGGGGGCTGGGGTGGACATGACCAGGATGGGCATGGCCAGCTTGACATCCTGCAGTCCTCTGCCAGTGAAAATGGAGCCTGGGAGGGCCATGTGCGGCCCTCTTGAGCTCTGTTTTTGCTGGCAGAGGCACTGCAGGCCAGTCCTTCACTGTTTCCATGGCGGCCCCGTGGGACAGATCTAAGCACACCACAGGCTGGATCCGGCCCATGGGCGTTGAGTTTGACACCCCTGCCCTATGCCATTCCAGTCAAATGGCTGTCCAATCTCTTCTTGAAAACCTCTAGTGATAGAGCATCTTCTGAAGACACGCTGTTCCACTGATTAGTTGTGGAAATTTCTCCTCAGTTCTAGGTTTTATGGAATCCTCCTTCCCCAATGTGGTTTTTGACCCACTTGCTGCTTTATGTTACTACATTTCTGTTTTTAATCTCTACTCCCTGTAGACCACTTAAGAGTGGCTTCGGTGATTCAAGCAGCTAAGAAATAGATTCACGGAATAAAATAAATATATTGACTGCTCTTTCCAAAAAACTGTTGGTGACAGCTTTTTAAGCAAGCAGTTCGGCTTACCCGGTTCTTAGTGTAGCGGACTCTGCCAGACGCGATCCCTAATCTTTGAAAGAAAGCTTCAAAATCACTGCCCGATCCAAGCTTGTTGATCCTGGCCAGATAGGAGAAGGAAGAGGAGAATTCAAGATTCAATCTTCTTGTAACTTGTCAGGGTATGTAGATTTAATAGCTGTAAGCTGATGTAAGGTTGTAAGCGGAGGCAACTGAAAGCTGATGCAATGGGAATGAAGCAGCAGGGTTACTGCCACTTTAAGAAGCTGGGCAGAAGCTGCCTATATAAGGGAAGCCATTAGAGGGCGTCTCCCTTCTCCTCATGTTCTCTCTCCTCATGTATCTCATTGCTCTCTTGTGTCAGTAGATGTATGATAAGGTATTTACCACGTAAATCTGTATATATTTAGCTGTAGATAAAACCACTGTTAATTATCTCAAGGCTTTATGTGCTGTGTGCTGTGTGCTGTGTTTTGCTCCTGGGTTTATCTCATAATACTAGTTATGCTGCCTAAACTCTGACATAACTTTTGGCACTTTTATGTTGGGGATAAAAAGAAGGGATCTTTGCAGATTACTTAAGTATGGTGGTGGGACAAGTAACGGGAGCTCACCCCATTACACGGCACTAGGGATTCAAACCGCTGAACTGCCGACCTTCTGATCGACAATCTCAGCATCTTAGCCACTGAGCCACTGCGTCCCATTAAAAGTCCTCTTAAAACACCTCAAATAAAAAAAGGAGAGGCAGCAGGAGAAGACAATCTGAATTTCCCATTTCTCAGAAACAAACCACATCATAACCTCTTCTAGATTAACCGAAGATGAACAAATTTCTCTTAACTATGGATTTCTGCCCAGCTTGACCCTGAAAGATCTCTGTAACCCAGCTATTGAATTGGAAAAGTCCTGGTACATTGCTTGAGTTCAGCACTGGTGAACAATATAATGGGTGGCTTCACATAAAATTCAGATTAACAGACTACAATTGCTATATCTGCATAGCAGGAGACATTTTTACAAATGAACCGTTTTACAGCTTAACGTGATGACCCAGTTCGCACAACATGTTGAGACAATGGCTAGGTTTTCCCTATGGAAGGATTCGGCAGCATATTATAGTAGTCCTTGACTTACAACCACAATTGGGACCAGAATCTCTGTTGCTAAGTGAGATGGTTGTTAAATGAGCCATGCCTGATTTTTCGTGCCACAGATGTTAAGTGAATCACTGCAGTTTCTAAGTGAATCATGGAGTTGTTAAATGAATCCAATTTCCCCCATTGACTTTGCTTATCGAAATCCAGCTGGGAAGGGGATCACATAATCCTGAGATGAGCTGTGGTGGCCCAGTGGTTAGAATGCAGCATTGCAGGCTAATTCTGCCGACTGCCAGCAGTTCTAACAGGCTCAAAGTTGACTCAGCCTTCCATCCTTCCAAGGTCAGTAAAATGAGGACCCAGATTGTTGGGGGCAATATGTTGACTCTGTAAACCACTTAGAGAGGGCTGTAAAGCACTGTAAAGTGGTATACAGTTAGTCCTCGACTTACAGCAATTCGCTTAGTGACCACTGAAAGTTACAATGGTACTGAAAAAAGTGACTTATGATCATTTTTCACACTTATGACCATTGCAGCATCTCCATGGATGTGTGATTTACATTAGGATGCCTGACAGCTAACTCACATTTATGACCATTGCAATGTCATGTGATCACCTTTTGCGACCTTCTGACAAGCAAAGTCAATGGGGAAACTAGATTCACTTAACAACGATGTTATTAATTTAACAACAGCAGTGATTCACTAAACAAATGTGGCAAGAAAAGTCGTAAAATGGGGCAAAACATACTTAACAAATTTCTAACTTAGCAACAGAAATTTGGGGCTCAATTGTGGTCATACGTATGTAGCTATTGGTACAACCATTGTAAACACATGTCAGTTGCCAAGCACCGAAATTTTGGTCATGTAACCATGGGAATGTTATGACAATTGTAAGTGTGAGGATTAGTCAGCAGTAACTTTCTTTTAGTGCTGTTGTAACTTCAAATGGTCACTAAATGAATGATGGTAAATTGAGGACTACTGTGTTTCCCCCAAAATAAAACCCAACTGGAAAATAAGCCCTAGCATGATTTTTCAGGATGCTCGTAATATAAGTCTTACGCCAAAAATAAGATCCAATTAAGATCGTCAACCAGACAGATGTATTTAGTACCGTATTTCTCTGAAAAAAAGACCCAACCAGAACATAGGCCCTAGCATGAGTTTTCAGGATGCTCGCAATGTAAGTCCTACCCCAAAAATAAGCCCCAGTTATGATTGTCTGACAGATGGATGCATTTAGTACTGTATTTCCCTGAAAATAAGACCTAACTAGAAAATAAGCCCTAATGCATCTTTTGGAGGCAAAATTAATATAATACCCAGTCTTATTTTCGAGAAAACATTGGTATGTCCACTTATTATCATCAAGGACACCATGCTCTAACCCAACTCCATTTGAGCCTAGCCTAGTGTGTTGCAGGTCAATGAGGGAATAGAAGCACACTGCTTTTACAGTTCTGCAGCAGATATAATAACTATAATAGTTCTCCCATGTGTCCCCAGGGCAGGCGTGCAAATAAGATGTAGATAAGAACATATCTTACCTGGGTCGTTGATTATTTTCACTGGAAGGATCCTTCTCAAGCCAACTCTGATAGAGAGATTTTCCTTCATAGCCTTCATCAGGACTTGAGATCTGTGTAGGAAATGAAACTTGATCTGTCACCCATATTGCTACTTGAAGCATTTTAAATGCTTTAGATCCAAGCTGGTTGATTTGTTAGTTGATTTGAATACTTACCCAGCACAATCAAGACATTCTTCTAATTTTACAAACTTGTTGTGGCCCATACGCGGCCTGTGCAGCTAGTAGCTGATACAGACAGCGAGGAGGCTGGTGTGGTGCTGCGCTAGCAGCCTATGCAGCTGGCACTCAAATCGGAGAATGAGGAGGCTGGAGAAGATGTGGTGCCAGAGGCAGGGATTCAGCCAGGGCCTTCAGAACCTCCAGAAGCTCCCTTAAGTGAAGAGGACGAAGAGGAGGAGCCTCTTCTCGATGCAGGGGTGCGCAGAGCTGCCAAAAGGCAGGAGTGGCTCCTCAGGAGGAGGTCTTCTCGAGAGTAAGGCTTGGGGCTAATTGGCCACTCCCTTAGCCTATTTAAGGAGGAACGCCGACTGAAGCAATTTGTAGGGAACAACTTCGTTCACATACCTTCGTGTCTTGTCTAGCTTATCTTATCAGCTTCCTGCAAATTGCTTCTGGGCATTCTGCCAACCATAGTAAGCTTTCAGTTATTATTCTTTGAATTCTTGGTGGCTGTTAATGCAATTAATTAACAGCCGTTGTTGAAAAAGACTGGTTTATTTAGTAAACTAAGGTTTGAACGGACTTTGTGTGTGCTGCGTTCTTTGGGGTCCGTAGCTGGGGCAGAACAAAACTTAGCGATAACTTAAGCAACAATAACAAAAAGCAACAGCCCAAAATAAAGGATGTACCTTCACTACATTTTGCAGTTTTTATTGACATTATGTGCTCTCCACAGACTAACACTGGAACCTCTGTGCATTGAGTATAAGTGATGTTCATGTTCATAATTTTCCACCAGAGTGGGATCTTATCCAGGATTCCAGCTCCTAGAGACCTCAATTCATTTCATCTTCACTTGCCCAGAGAACATCCAGGCTTACTGTATCTACATTAGACAGGAAAGCCAAAATTGGCTGCACCCAAACATGAGCAGTTCTGTTCTTGAGATGACCAGCCAGATAATCACAACTCACTCTTCATAGGTTAGTACATTCTTTTTTTTTTTTAAGACTGCTAGATCATGAAGTGCTGAAATATTGGTGATAGGAGGAACCACATTCAGGGAGGCACAGATGCACGACACGTCCTTGCTTCTGTACACATAACCATGAGGCACAAGTGGTTTCTGTTCTGTCCCCGTCCCACACACACACACACCAACAGACGTCCAAGAGTTAAAAACCAAACCAGCCGACAAAATCCTTTTCCTTATGATAACGGAACTTGGCAGCAACCTAGTGGCTGCCTGCCAAGAGTTTATTACTCACGAAGGGAAAAGATAACTTCTCTCTGCTTCTGGTACATCAAAGTAAAATGTTCAATAATTACAGAGTAAATTAAGTCCAAATATAATCCAGCAAAGTCTATAGCAAAAATCTGGCAATGCAGAATGACATGGAAGCTTTCAGCTTTGTTCGTCACAAGGCTTGACTGGCCACCACGGTCCCTTTTATACCCTGTGGGGTGTGGTCCAGTGACTCAGCCTAATCTCTGGCACGCCTTTTCTTCTGTTGCGCGCGCTTATCTCTGCGACGCTGTCGAGGATCCAGCCAAGACTCATTACTCTCATCACTGTCCACCTGTAGCTGCGTGGACATGTTTGGCCCCGGCCCTATCTCTTGCCCTTCAGCGGACACCGAAGGCATTGCCAAAGAGGAGGGTCCTGGAGAGGGAGGCCTTGCCAACTCCTCTCCTTCACTCTCGGAGTCCTCTCCTGCCGATGACACAGGCTCAGGTAACGGAGCCACAACAGTTCCAAGGATACTGCCCAGCCATCATTTTGTGGCTAATCAGAACTACCATAAAGTAGACAGGGTCAACATTTTGATTTTGAGGAGGAGGAGGAGGGAGGGGAAGGAAGAGGAGGGGTGGAGAAGAGGAGGAGAAGGGGAGGAAGAGTGAGGCGAGGAGGAGGGGGAGGGGGGCAGAAATGTGAACTGGCCTTCCTCTACTTGCCCTGCCTGAGTTTGATTTTCATTGCATACCAGAATAACTAAAAACTATGGATGTTGGTTCTGCTGGCTATTTGATGGACGAACATCTGGAATTGGTGGTGCTTTCATTCCTGGTTCAAAGCAAAATGTTTTCCCCATGCTGTGCATTGCCCAACTATACCTCTTTTGTCAGATTATAGACCAACTGGTTCAGAAGAGGAGTACAGTCAACCCTCAAAGTGTAGTTGCCTGCAACACAAATACAGAAATTGTTTTGAATCAATGTTAGCAGTTCCCTCTCAAAAAAATTCAAATTAAAACATAGCCTCCTCTACTTCAAACTGAATTTATCTACAGGAGCAAACCTTCTCTCTTTCTAGCCCTTCAGGGAATTTTCCCTCCTGTCGAGTCGAGTCAAGGCATAAAAATTCTGACAGCTTACATGTAAACAGAAAGATACTTACATACATATCATGCACAACCATAAAACAACTCCTAGGAGACAGTGTAATTGAGATCCCTTGACAAAAAAATAAAATAATGGAAAATACCGCCATCTCTTCTGTTCTAAACCAACCCATAACATTAATTTCTGCACTTGGATAACTGGAATGTAGTTTTATACAGACACAGTCCTGGAATATGCTCTCAAATTCATTTGAAATGTCTAAATAAAGGTGATTCCTTATGGATTGAGGGGGCGTGATGGCTCAGTGGTTAAAGATCATGAGCTTGTACGCTGAAGAGCTGACAGCCAGGTTCAAGACCCAAGTGCTAGTTAAACGGGTGAGCTCCAGTTCCTTGCTCCAGCTCCTGCCCATTTAGCAGTTTGAAAGCATGCAAATTTATTTATTTATTTATTTATTTATTTATTTATTTATTTATTTATTTATTGGTTCGATTTATATGCCACTCTTCTCCGGAGACTCAGGGCGGCTTACAATACGTTAAGCAATAGCCTTCATATTTTTGTATATACCTGCTTAGTAGGGCTTTCGTCGCCCCCCACAAGCGGTGTTCTTTTTATACAAAGTCAGCTTATTGACCCCACAAACCAGGTCCTCATTTTACCTACCTCGGAAGGATGGAAGGCTGAGTCAACCTTGAGCCTGGTGAGATTTGAACTTGCAGTAATTGAACTTGCAAATCATCATCATCTCCTTTGAATGATCCCATAATCCCTTGAGGGACGGCGTCTGGGCAACTGAATGGAGCTAATAGAGTGTTTAATGGCCAGATGCCCTTCCTGTCACCAATGCGGAGTTTTGTTCAGCAGATATATTCTCATTGTGCCCAATGAAAGCATTTTTTGAAAGCATGCAAATGCGCGTAGATAAATAGGTACCACTTCAGTGGGAAGGTAACAGCATTCTGCGCATCTTTGGCATATAGTCATGCTGGCCACGTGACCACAGAAATTGTCTTCAAACAACACCGGTTTCCTCAGCTAAGAAACGGAGATGAGCATCGTTCCCTACAGCTCAGGGGTGAAATCTAGGAGGTTCTGACAGGTTCTGGAGAACCGGTAGTGGAAATTTTGAGCAGTTTGGAGAACCGGCAAATACCACCTCTGTTTGGCCCCAGAGTGGGGTGGGAATGGAGATTTTGCAATATCCTTCCCCCTGGAGTGGGGAGGGAAGGGGGATTTTGCAGTATCTTTCCCCTGCCACACCCACCAAGCCACACCACACCACGCCCACCAAGCCATGCCCACAGAACCGGTAGTAAAAAAATTTGGATTTCACCACTGCCCCTGACCTATACATTATCCCATTTAAGTTTGTAATACCACTGTGAAGTTTCCGAAAGATGCCCTAATTAATTCATGAGCCATGAGCCGAACTTCAAAAGAAATACAGTCATTTATTAGGAGCACCATTTCGGCAATATTCGGATGCAGTTAGAACTAATCCCACGTAGATTTACGTTCCCCTATGACCCTGTCTCTCCCCTTCTCCCTGGCCATGTCATAAATCACATTCTCCAGTTAACCACTTTGGCTGGCTGTGAAATCCAACACCCTCCTTCTGATTGCGGTCAGGAAGAATGTATGGAATGCACTTCAATTAGGGAAATCAATCAGCTCTATCAGTTCTCCCTCCCTCCTGCTCATGGCAACTTGAAAGCTTTGCAAGTTGACAACCACCATCAGTAAATAGTAATTATAACACTAATCAAGGAGACAACCAACCTACATCTAAGGAAAAATTTCCTGACAGAACAATTAACCAGTGAAGGATTTGCCTCCAGAAATTGTGGGTGCTCCAACACTGCAGGTGTTTAAGAAGAAACTGGACAGCCATTTGTCTGAAATGATACAGGATCTCCTGCTTGAGCAGGGGGTTGGACTAGAAGACCTTCAAAGTCCCTTCCAACTCTGTTATTCTGTTAACTTCAATGTCTTAGAAACTTGCAGCACTTGCTGGAGTTCAGAAGTTAAATCGGACCTCAGTTGGTTAGTATCTGGATGGAAAACTACCAGGAAATCCAAGGACTGGAGTATAGACGGAAAGCTTTTTTAAAAAATCAAGAAAGAAGGCGTAGCTTTCCCCACTAATGTCAAGAAAACTGCATGGATGTGTGAACAAGTCTACAAAATCACCAAACATTAGGCACAACTTGAAGGAGACTGTACTGGAACAGCTAATAATAATCTATTTTTAAAATGAACATCTGTTGCTAGGAAGATGTTCAAGATGGCAGGGCTAAAAATGAATTTCCCATTTTTTAAAAATCTGTTTTACATTGGCTAATGTTCATTCTGCTGGAAGAGAAATTATTCCGATTGTATTTCTTCTTCCCAAAAGAGAAGGGCATTTTGGCAAATGCCCCCACCCCCAAAATCTCACAGATTAGGGCATTTTATGCTTACCTTACTTATAAGGTGGTTAAGGGCTGGATGTTGGCAATCTGTCTGTCACTCTAGCTTCCCACTTAGTCACCGGATACTTAATTAAATTCAGGGGAGGTTTTTCCCAGGGGCTCTCTGCAGATTAGGATCTGCAAAAGATGGAGAGATGCTTATTAGAAAATAAATTTAGAAAGAGAAACTGCCTAAGAATTAGCTAGCCTCAATCTCTGCATGGTCTCCATGTCTATCAGGCACAAAAGACCGAGGCCACACATTAAGTTTCAATTAAATTGATTTATTGCTCACGTCTATATACAGGGATGCGGTATAAGTGGCTAAGATGCTGAGTTTGTCAATCGAAAGGTCGGCAGTTCAACAGTTCGAATCCCTAGTGCCGCATAACGGGGTGAGCTCCCGTGACTTGTCCCAGCTTCTGCCAACCTAGCAGTTCGAAAGCATGTAAAAAATGCAAGTAGAAAAATAGGGGCCACCTTTGGTGGGAAGGTAATAGCGTTCCGTGCGCCTTTGGCGTTTAGTCATGCCAGCCACATGACCACGGAGACGTCTTCGGACAGCGCTGGCTCTTCGGCTTTGAAACAGAGATGAGCACTGCCCCTTAGAGTCAGGAATAACTAGCACATATGTGCAAGGGGACCCTTTACCTTATATACAGGAATCTAGTTAACTAATGGTTAACATAATTTGGGCTCTAGATAAATGATAATGAACTTAAAGAGAGGTTAGACTAAGTCCATTTGTGGCTATTTAGTGACTCTAAGCTGATTCCTCTTTTGACTCAGGCTCTGCCACTCCTTCTCCTACAATCTCTCAGTGTATGAAGGGTATCCTTCAAGCCAGCCTTGATTCCTGGTGACAAATGGATGTTTCACACCTTTTTCTCTCCCACCATCAAAAATATATATAAATAAATAAAAATGGTTTGCCACCGCTTTCCTCCAAGCTATCACTCAACCCTCCACCCCCTTGTCTAGTCTACAGCAGGGGTGGGTTCTATTTTTTTTTTACTACCGGTTCTGTGGGCGTGGCTTATTTTGTGTGTGTGGCTTGGAGGTCATGTGACTACGTGGGCGTGGCTAGCTGGTCAGAGTCATTTCTGGAAGGTCCTCGCACTTACGACCAGTCCTCGCACTTATGACCCGACTCATTTGTTTGCTTTTAACACTGATCAGCTGTAGGACGGCCCTTTGAAGCCCCGTGGCAAGAGTTTAAACAGTTTTTTTCCCTCTAGTCATCAGCTGGGACTCAGGAGGCAGCAATCGATTGGGGGTGGGACGAAATAAAAGGTAAGAATAATGTGGGGGGGTGGGAGAGCGGGGGGGGAGAACCGGTTCGGTGATGTCATATCGTCACCGCTACCGGCTCGGCCGAACCGGACCGAACCGGGAGGAACCCACCACTGGTCTACAGCCCATATAGCAATAGCACTTAGACTTATATACCGCTTCACAGCCCTCTCTAAGCGATTTACAGATTCATCTTATCTCCCCCAAAATCTGGGTTCTCATTTTACCGACTTTGGAAGGGTTGAAGGCCGAGTCAATCTTGAGCCGGTGAGACTTGAACTACTGAACTGCTGGCAGTCAGAAGAATTAGCCTGCAGTACTGCATTCTAACCATTGCACCATCACGGCTCTATCCAATCCTGCTTACAGTAACTTCCTAAAGGTAAAGGTAAAGGTTCCCCTTGCACATATGTGCTAGTCGTTCCAGACTCTAGGGGGCGGTGCTCATCTCCATTTCAAAGCCAAAGAGCCAGTGCTGTCTGAAGACGTCTCCATAGTCATGTGGCCGGCATGACTAAACGCCAAAGACGCACAGAACGTTGTTACCTTCCCACCAAAGATGGTCCCTATTTTTCTACTTGCATGTTTTACATGCTTTCGAACTGCTAGATTGGCAGAAGCTGGGACAAGTAACGCGAGCTCACCCCGTTATGCAGCGCTAGGAATTCGAACCGCCGAAATACCGACCTTTCGATCGACAAACTCAACATCTTAGCGGCTGAGCCACCATGTCTCTTCCTAGCCCAAGATAAGATTGTGTGTATGATCTGGTTTAAAATGACCTAATACAGTTACTAAATAATCTGTAGCTTGTTTTAAGGGAATCTTAAAAGAGAAGCTATTTTTTTTGTTGTTGTTGTTCCTGTAGTTTACTGATTACAATTCTGGCTACTGTAACCCATGATTTGATTGTCGCTTTGGATCTTGTATGAGTTGTGTGTTACACACATCTCTTAATACAAGATTGGAAAATTGTGACTCTCAAGATATTGCTAAAAAGGAAAATTTCCTTTGAGTTGAGCCTGAGTCTTATAACTTTGTAAACACATCCATGCCATTTTCCTGGATGTTATAGAAATGGTGTTACCTTCTTCCAGAATGTTTTTCAACTTTATGGCCTAGTCCACAGGCCCACAATTTCTTGGTCATCTGCCAGCCAGGTCCAATCCTACTTAAGCTTTACAAGATCGCTCAAGGTTGACTAAATGTATTACAAGATATTCACAACTGTGAGGGATCCTTGGTGCTCTCTCTGAGATTGGTTGTTTTCTTGCAGACATATTTCATAGCCCTAACTAGGTAATATCATCAGTGCTAGTCTATCTGATATTCACCTTCAATGGAAGAATCGGTGTTGATGTAAGCCACAGCCCGTGTCTGAAGAAGTTTGCTGTTCTCCTGCAGTTGCAAAAAAAATTAAATTAAATTAAAAAATGAACTCTATTATGCCCATTATTATCAATCATGAATAGCATATAAATGAAAAGTTGTTTTTTTTAATTTGATTTATATGCCGCCCTTCTCCGGAGACTCAGAGCGGCTTACAATGTGCTCAGCAATAGCCTTCATCCTTTTGTATATTTATACAAAGTCATCTTATTGCCCCCACAACTGGGTCCTCAATTTACCTACCTTAGAAAGGATGGAAGGCTGAGTCAACCTTGAGCCTGGCGAGATTCAAACCTGCAGTAATTGCAGGCAGCTGGTCTTAATAACCAGCTTAATAACAGGGTGCCTTAGACCACTGTACTACCAAGGAAAAGTGGGGGGAACCGGAAACTTTCCAAAAGTGGCTGAACTATAATTCCCAGAAACTCCTGTTGTCACAGCCAATGGAAACCGGGACTTGAAGTTCAGCATTATCTGTGTGGCCAAGCACTCTTCAGCCCTGATGTACCAATCATGCTGTGTGCTCTGGTGGCGCAGTGGTTAGAATCAGTGGTGAAATCCAATTTTTTTTACTACCGGTTCTGTGGACGTGGCTTGGTGGGTGTGGTGTAGCTTGGTGGGTGTGGCTTGGTGGGCGTGACAGGGGGAGGATATTGCATTCCCGCTGCAACAGTCATGTGAAGACAGGTCATTTTTTTTCAGTGGTTATAAGTCAAGGACCACCTGTGCATACCTAAGACAATTTTAGTAGTATGGCTGTAGCATTACTATTTATCCTTCATATTATCCTTCTTACTCCCCTCTCTTATTGGTAATCATATTATTATGATTATCATTATTCTGTTGCTTTGGATATACACAGAGAGCTTATGCAACAGAGACAAATTGCTTGAGTGTTTAATCTCACTTGGCCAAATAAACTCTCTCCTCTCTTCTTTTTTCTCTCCTCTTCTCCTCTTTTTTCTCTCCTCTCCTCTCCTCTCCTCTTCTTTTTTCTCTTCTCTTCTCTTCTCTTCTCTTCTCTTCTCTTCTCTTCTCTTCTCTCCTCTCCTCTCCTCTCCTCTCCTCTCCTCTCCTTTTCTCTTTCCTCTTCTCTTCTCTTCTTTTTTCTCTTCTCTTCTACCCTACCGGCAGTTCGAATCCCTAGTATAGGTCTCCTACGTGAGCAGGGGGTTGGACTAGATGACCTCCAAAATCCCTTCCAACTCTGTTACTGTTACTGTTAATGTTTGTTAATGTTACTGTTACGTTACCCTACCCTACCCTACCCTACCCTACCCTGCCCTGCCCTACTCTACTGTATTTTATTCCATTCCATTCTGTGAGGACCAGTCATAAACCACTTTTCTCAGGTCGAGGACAACCTGTGGGTAAATAATACAATTTTACAGAGCCTTTCACTCACCTCTGCCCACTCTGTGGAACCTAATAATCCAAATTCTTCTGCATCCCAGCTGGCAAAAATGATTGTTCTTCTTGGCCTCCAACCTACGCAAGATGAAATTAAGATGACAGAGAAACCTTAATTCTTTACCCTGCTGATGGCTGAAGATGCAAACCTATCCATGTCTATGGACAAATAAGTTTGAGTTAGTTTAAAAACTAAGCAAATATATCATTTTTAGCATGACAAAGGAAGTTTAAGCTGCTTGGTAGAAATGTCTTTTGGGCCTTCCTTTATCTTTGGAAGAAGATTTTGCTTTATTTGTTAGCTTTATTCAGCTGGCACATTTATTGAGCAAAAGATCAAGGTGACTTAGAACCCACTTCAAACGCATGTTGACATTTAAATCCCAGCACATCCCATCTCTGCTTTGGGTTCCCAATTTTTTCCATCTATTAGTCTTACCCTTCTCCATCATCTTGCCAAAGCTGCGAGCAACCTCTTGTAGGACAGCAGCTCCTGTGGTGGGGTCAATACCCCCAAAGACCCAGGAATCTCTGTGGCCTCCGAAGATTATATACCTATCTAAGAAAAGGAAGCAGAAGAACAATACACTTTCTTAAAATTCAGAACAAACTTGCTGTCAACTCGCAAAGCATCCCTGGCCTGCTCTCGAGTTGCCATAGGCCAGGGGGAATGGGAAACTGGCGAAATGGCACAGCAGCCAAAGACAGATGCACATTCCAGACTTATCTCTTTCAAGGCTGTATCACAGGGTTACCTACAGCAGCCAAAGGAGAGTGATCTCTACAACCCACGAAATTGCTCCATTGGCATATATGACTGATGACACACCCTGGGGGGAAGGGGGAAACAGGGTCATAATTGGAGCGTAAATTATGTAGGGTCAGAACTGGCTTCACTTGGGAACGTACCAACATGAAGCTCCTAATAAATAACTGGATTTCTTTTGAAGCATGTCTCGAGACTCATGATTTAATTAGGGCATCCATCAGAACCCTAACAGCAAGCCAGCTCTGACCCTACGTAATTTGCGCTCCAATTATGACCCTGTTTCCCCACCCCAAGGATGTGTCATCAATCACATCTGCCAACGGAGCAATTTCGCAGGTTGTAGAGGTCACTCCCCTTCGGCTGCTGTAGGTAACCCTGGGATACAGCCTTGAGGGAGATAAGCATGGAATGTGCACCTGTTTTTGGCTGCTGTGCCATTTCACCGGTTTCCCATTCCCCCTGGCCTATGGCAACTCGAGAGCAGGCCACAGATGCTTTGCGGGTTGACACTTGCTAGATTTCTCTTTTCTATTTCAGAAATAGATGTAAAGGAGGTGGGATAGCCTGACAGAGGTTTTTGATGTTGGGTAGCTCTGGCCTGAGTTATTCGGGATTGTTGACCGAGGAATCAGCGCAAGGACAAACAAAGAGTAGTGGTGAAACCTAAAGATGCTTTTTCAAGAGGCAATTGGACTTTCTGGTTGTTCATTGAAGATGTTTCGCTTCTCATCCAAAAAGCTTCTTCAGCTCTGCATCACTCAATGTCTATGGAGATTCTCAGTCATCCAGGTCATGGTTGTCCCAAAGGCGCTTTTTCAAGAGGCAACTGGACTATTTGGTTTTTCTTTGAAGACGTTCCTCATCCAAGAAGCTTCTTCAGCTCTTCAGAAGAAGAAGCTTCTTGGATGAGAAGCGAAATGTCTTCAAAGAAAAACCAGAAAGTCCAGTTGCCTCTTGAAAAAGCACCTTTGGGACAACCATGACTTGGATGACTGAGAATCTCCATAGACAAATAGTGGTGAAAGTCAGTCTCCTTGGAAGAGTCCTCCCTTGATATTAACCTCTTCCATTCTATTGTTCTGACCTAGGCTTACTGAGTCATTAAAACACACGAGTAATCTCAAAACCCCTTTTATTGCAACAGCTGTGAATTACGTTCATTCACAGCTGAGTCCTAATTAGTTGCAAAAAGTCCTTTGGGAGAAGTCCTTCAGGATAATCACCAACCTTTATTTCCTTTGACACGCTGCCAAAGACCTATTTGGCAAAGCCAAACGGAGTCCAGAATCAAACAGAGATGCCGACTGGGAACAGAATTAACAACGTTGCTTTCCTGCAAAGGGCCCATGTGCCTTTGTTCCTCTTTTAAGCCTTATGGGAGGGGCCAATCATCTGCAGGCCTTAGTCCCAAATCGTCCCTTTTGTTTTAACTGTTTGTGCCTTCTGGCAGCTCTGCGCATGTGTGCCCTAGGAACAGGCTCCTCCTGTTCCTCTGCCTCTCTGCTATCCGACTCTGGAGACTCCGGAATCCATGCCTAACTCCCAGATGGCCCTGGCTCCATCTCTGCCTCTGACGCAGAGCCTCATCCGGGCCTTCCCCAGACTTCAGGACTGGGCCATGTTCCTCCCCAGCCTCCTCACTGTCCAACTCCGCTGCCACCTCCACAGGCTGCTGGCGGACCACAACATCTATCACCATTGACCAGCAATCATGTCTTCCGTTGGGCCATTGATCTTTGCCCAAAGCTTCTGATGTTTCTACTGACTCCTGTTATTTCTTGATATTATTTTAAATTCCTGCCACCTCCTCGGAACTCAGGTATCCACATTTTGAAGCGGAAACCAACAAAGCAGATGCTATAAGCATTAAAACAGAATGAATATGAACGGGAAAGTATTAATTCCAATACCTCCCCCCAAAAGAAACAATCATGGATATGTCCCCCTTATGCCATCCGCTGTAATCCTTGCCTTCCTTAAACACATGCTTAACTTGGTTTCCAGCTACCTGTTGTGGCCCGCTAGTGGCCTACGTGGATCGTGGCTGATCCCGATGATGAGGAGGCTGGTGTGGTATCACGCCAGCATCCTGCGCAGCCGGCGCTCGCGTCGGACAGCGAGGAGGCCGAAAAGGATGTGATGCCAGAGGCAGAGACTCAGCCAGGGCCTTCAGAATCTCCAGAGGCTCCTTCCAGTGGAGAGAGTGAAGTGGAGGAGCCTCTCCTCGATGCTCGGGCACGCAGGGCTGCCAAAAGGCAGGAGTGGCTACTCAGGAGGAGAAGGTCTACTCGAGAGTAGGGCTTGAGGATAATTGGCCACTCCCTTAGCCTATTTAAGTTGCATGCAGCTAGTGCTTTATTGCTAGAAACAACGTCTCATTACTACAGAGCATCTTGGAGAGCGAGTGACTTCTCATATCTGGTTTTCTGGGCTGGAAGCCTGCATTCTTGAAAGGGGTTTGTTTGGAATTAAATAGTGTTTGCGAAGCTTGGTGTGTGTCACATTCTCTGGGAATCCGAAGCTGGGGCAGAACATACCCAAAACCTGCCCATTCTTGTTTTAAATAAAGCAATCGACATTCAAAACTCACCAGGCTCCACTGCTCCTTTGATGCTTCCGATCACATTATATATCCGTGTAATTTGACTGGTGCTATGAACGTGCATCTTAACTTTTCTGCCATAGAAGAGAAAGGGGGGGAAAAGGATTTGGTGACACAGTACCATGTTTCCCCAAAAATAAGACTCTGTCATATTTTTTCGAACCCCGAAATAAACGTTTGGCCTTATTTTCGGGGAGGTCTTATTATTTTGGGGCACATGGAATAAGATGGGGCTCCTCTTGCTGTCTTAACTGATTTCCAGCTCTGCGTTTAAATATTTTCGGGGAGGCTTATTTTTTGGGGGGGGCTTATTTTAGCGCATGCGCTCAAAAGCCCGATTGGGCTTATTATCAGGGGATGTCTTATTTTCGGGGAAACAGGATAGTAAGGTCAACCATGTTAGGAGTACCTCAAAGCATTCGCAAGTTATATGTTTTGCAAAAGGACTCAGTTCTTCTACAGGTGTATCAAAGACAATCATTTGCTTGTGGCTGGGCAGGAACATGCAGAGAAGAGCAACCAGGATGATTAGGGGACTGGAGACTAAAACATACGAAGAACGGTTGCAGGAACTGGGCATGGCTAGTCTAGTGAAGAGAAGGACCAGGGGAGACATGATAGCAGTCTTCCAATATTTGAGGGGCTGCCACAGAGAGGAAGGGACCAAGCTATTTCCTAAAGCACCCGAAGGCCAGACAAGGAAAAATGGATGGAAACTGATCAAGGAGAGATTCAATCTAGAAATAAGGACAAATTTTCTGACAGTGAGAACAATCAACCCATGGAACAGAAGTTGCCTTCGGAAGTTGTGGGAGCTTCATCACTGGAGGCTTTCAAGAACAGATTGGATTGCCATTTGTCAGAAATGTTGTAGGGCCGTGATGGCAAACCCACGGCACATGTGCCACAGGTGGCATGCATAGCCATATCAGTGGGCACACCAGCTCAGCTCTGGCACGCATGCGTGTGCCGACCAGCTGATTTTCAGGCCTTCTGGGCCCACCAGAAGTAGGGAAACAGGCTGTTTCCTGCCTCCAGAGGGCCTGGAGAGGTGGTTGGGAATGCCCGTTTTTCTTTCTCACCTGGCTCCAGATCCTCTCTATGCATCTGGGGAGGGCAAAAACAGCCTTCCCCACCCTCTCAGAGGCCCTCTGGAGGCCTGAAATGGCCCATTTCCCAACTCCCAGTGGGACAGGAAGTGACTTTTTTGCTGTCCCCAGCCACCAGAGACTCCTAGAGAGGCCAGGAGTGGGGGGAGGGGGAGTTGCACACGCATGCGCAGGGCAGGGCACATAGAATTATGAGTGTGGGCACACGCTCGCGCAAACCTCCTCCGCTCCCCCTCTCCTGGCACGCGATGGCAAAAAGGTTAGCCATCACTGGTGTGGGGTCTCCTGTTTGGGTGGGGGAGGGTTGGACTAGATGATCTACAAGAGGGGTCTGCAACCTTAAATACTCGAAGAGCCATTTGGACCCGTTTCCCACAAAAAAGAAAACACCGGGAGCCACAAAACCTGGGTGGGCGTGGCCAACTCGATGTCACTCACTTCCACCAGTCACATGACCGCCTCCCCCCAGCCATGCCTACCCAGCCGGTCATTAGGGCAGAGAACCAGTTGTTAAAAAACATCAGGAACCACAAAATTCTTTGACATATCTCTCCCTCCCCTCCCTCCCTCCCCCCTCTCCCTCTCTCTCTGTATCTCTCTATGTCTCTCTCTCTCCCATCTCTCTGTATCTCGCTGTCTTTGCCCTGGCTTCTTCGCCGTCGCCCTTACTTTCTCAGGCCAGGCGATGAGTGACTGGGAGGGGAGGGTGAGGGGTGGGGCCAGCCAGTGGTGGGATCACCTGACAGGGAGCCACAGCAGAGGGCCCAAAGAGCCACATGTGGCTCTGGAGCTGCAGGTTGCTGACTCCTGACCTACAAGGTCCCTTCCAACTCAGCGAAGTTTTGGCAGTTTATGAAGGAGAAAGAGAGTGAAGAGTACATTTTTATTGATACGAATACAAGTGTTTTAGTTTGGCAAGATTTCTGTCTATAGGTGAAGCACACCTATAAATGAGGAACAATAAAGGAAATTGCTTTGGAGTACCTCAGATATTTCTTGGTTTTAGAGCCTGACACCCTCACTTTATAGCTTTTCCTACAATTGTTAAAGATTGAGTTGTTCCCAAGAGCCTAAGGAAACAGAGAAACTGGTAAAATATCGGGAATGATTTGTATCTTATTGTATTTTTTTGGAGGGAGGGAAACTGCTCTGATCCTTTCCTTACGGATGTTTTATTGTATTACTATATGTTGATGGGCCCACTTAAGAGTCCTGTTGTTTGCAGCAGGGACAAATTGAGTGAATGGGTAATAAATATGTGAGCATATGTTTCTTCCAGCCAGCTATGGCCACATTTATTTTAATTTACGTCATTGGGTTGATTTCTGCTCTAGGCTACGTTGTAAAATAATCAGTATATATACTTGTCTCTTGTGCAAAGACCATTTCTTTCTATGCTCCCCCTTGAGGTTGATGGACTGTTATTGACTGTGTGCCATCTGGGCACTGGAGACTCTTAGTAACCACATAGATTTTCTCCATGGTGATTGTCCTTAACCTGGTCCTTCAGATCTTCCAATGATGCACTTATTGCCACATTATGTGACCCTAAAGGTAAAGGTTCCCCTCGCACATATGTGCTAGTCGTTCCCGACTCTAGGGGGCGGTGCTCATCTCCGTTTCAAAGCCGAAGAGCCAGCGCTGTCCAAAGAAGTCTCCGTGGTCATGTGGCCGGCATGACGAAACGCCAAAGGCTCACCGAATGCTGTTCCCTTCCCACCAAAAGTGGTCCCTATTTTTCTACTTGCATTTTTTAACGTGCTTTCGAATTGCTAGGTTGGCAGAAGCTGGGACAAGTAATGGGAGCTCACTCAGTTACGCGGCGCTAGGGATTCGAACCGCTGAACTGCTGACCTTTTGATTAACAAGCTCAGTGTCTTAGCCACTGAGCCACCACGTCCCATTTTATGTGACCTATCTCCTCTCTATTCTTTCTTTCTAATACTCTCCCAGCATTAGAGCTTTCGCCAGAGAGTTAGTTCTTTCCATAATATATCCAAAGTAGGATAATTTGAGTTTGGTCATTTGTGCTTCAAGTCAGAACACTGGGTTCTGATTTGTTGGATGATCCTTTGATTTGTTTCCTGGTTGTCCATGCTATTCTCAAGAGTCTTCTCCAACACCAAAATTCAAAAGCTTCGATATATATAGGTAATTCCTTGACTTACGACCACAATTGAGTCCAACATTTCTGTTGCTAAGCGAAGCATTTGTTAAGGGAATTCTGCCCCATTTTATGCAACCTCCCAACATTGTTACGTGAATCACTGAAATTGTTAGCTTAGTAACATGGTTGTTAAGTAAATCTGGCTTCCACATGGATTTTGCTTGTCAGGAGGTTTCAAATGTAGTGTAGTAACAAAGGAGGAGGAGGAGGGGAGGAAGAGAAGGAAGAAGGAGGAGGAGGAGGAGGAGGAACTGGAGAAGGAGAAGGAGAAGGAGGAGGAGGAGGAGAGGAAGAGGAAGAGGAGAGGAAGAGGAAGAGGAAGAGGAAGAAGAAGAAGAAGAAGAAGAAGAAGAAGAAGAAGAAGAAGAAGAAGAAGAAGAAGAAAGAAGAAGAAGAAGAAGAAGAAGAAGAAGAAGAAGAAGAAGAAGAAGAAGAAGAAGAAGAAGAAGAAGAAGAATTCTCCAAAGCACCTGAGGGCAGCACAAGAAGCAATGGGTGGAAACTAATCAAGGAGAGAAGCAACTTAGAACTAAGGAGAAATGTCCTGACAGTTAGAACAATTAATCAGTGGAACAACTTGCCTCCAGAAGTTGTGAATGTCCAACCCTGAAAGATTTTAAGAAGAGATTGGATAACCATTTGTCTGAAATGGTATTGATAAGATAAAATAGGATTTCCTGCCTGAGCAGGAGGTTGGACTAGAAGACCTCCAAGGTCCCTTCCAACTCTGTTATAGAAGGAAGAGGAGGAGGAGGAGGAGGAGGAGGAGGAGGAGGAGGAGGAGGAGGAGGAGGAGGAGGAGGAGAGGAAGGGGAAGGGGAAGGAGAAGGAGAAGGAGAAGGAGAAGGAGAAGGAGAAGTTGTTTCTGAGTTTGCAAACTATGGGAAGAGAAGAACAGAAAAATGAGTTTTCAAAAAAGAAGTACTTAAAAAAAAGTAAATGGAAGAGCTTGCTTCTTAATTGGACAAGCTAGAACAATGGGCATTGCATAATCAACCTTCTGGCAATAAAAGATGGAAGTGATATATAAATTCCCACAATCTATTTTATTAACATAGCAACGTGACTGGCAGCAGCACCCATATACCGGCAAGCTAAGGATATCACTTCAGCATTACAACAACAGGGTCTTATTCTGAATTCAGGATTGGCATTAGAAGCTAAAATGTAGCTCACGTAACTCCTGTGTAGTGCTTGTCCTGGATTTAAATGGTTAGTTCTCAAATCAAAACTGACTATCCAAGCAACGAAACAACTTCAAATCGTTTTTCACCTATGAACCATCAATTACTAGCACCAATACAGATAATTGGATCCTGCCAGCTCTAATTTCTGCAGTTGTTATCTGTTTTGTAAACTAGGTGGATTTCCTCCTACCTGCATGCATAACAAAGCTGCTAGAGCAACCAATTTAGCCATCTCGTTGATAGCAACATGTAAACCTTGTGTAGTAAAGTTCAGTAAGTGCAGGTCATCCTTAACTTTACAACCATTTGTTTAATAACCATTTGAAGTTACAACAACAGTGGAAAAAAGTGACTTGCAACTGCTCCTCGCATTTATGACCATTGCAGCATCCTCATGGTCAAAGGATCAAAATTTAGGCATCTGCCAACACGTATTTATTATAGTTGCTATGTCCCGGGGTCACGATTGCCATTTGCAATTGTCAGCTGGCTTCCAACAAACAAATTCAATGGGGAAAGCCAGATTCACTTAACAATGTGCGATTCACTTAATCATCATTGTTTAACGACCCCATAATCCCTTGCGGGGTGGAGTCTGGGCAACTGAATGG